ACTAGCTGGGATTGCAGGTGCGCGGCACTGCGCCTGGCTAATTTTTTAAAAATATTTTTGGTAGGGAGCCAGCGTGCCCAGCCTATTTCTCTCATCTTTGTTTCTTGTGCCTCCTTTCCTGCCTTCTTTTGGATTAATGGAGGGATTCTTCACATTTCCTTTCATCTCTGTTGACTTTTGGCTACATCTTTTTTGCTGTATGTTTTTAGTTATATATGTTTTCTGTAGCGATTGTTCTAGGGATTACAACAGACACCCTGACTTTTCACAGTGCACCTGCTGTGCTTATGACACCATTTGTGCAATAAGGCAGTCAAAAGGAATGAAGCACAGACATGGGCCACACATGGCTGAGCGTCAAACTTTATGCCAGGTCCAAGCAGCCAATCACAAAGGCCCACATATTGTATGATTCCATTTATATGAAATGTCCAGAATGGGAAAATCCAGAGAGACAGGGAGCAGATTACTGCTTACCCAGTGCTGGGGAGGAAGAAAGAATTGGGAGGGGTGATGACTAAGGATAACAGAGTTCCTTGCTGGGGAAATGAAAATGTTTGAAAATCAATTGAATTGTGGTGATGGATGCACCGTTCTGTAAGTATACAAAGAGCCACTTATTTTTATCTATCTATCTATCTATCTATCTATCTATCTATCTATCTATCTATCTATCTATCTTATCTATCTATCTACTTACCTACCTATGTATGTATGTATGTATGTATGTATGTATGTATCTATCTATCTATCTATCTGTCTGTCTGTCTGTCTGTCTGTCTAGGAGACAGTCTCATTCTGTTGCCCAGGCTGGAGTGCAGTGGCACGATCTTGGCTCACTGTAACCTCTGCCTCCTGGGTTCAAGAGATTCTCCTGCCTCAGCCTCCCAAGTAGCTGGGATGACAGGCACCCGCTACCACACCCAGCTAATTTTTTTGTACTTTTAGTAGAGATGGGGTTTCACCATGTTGGTCAGGCTCGTCTCAAACTCCTGACCTCAGGTGATCCACCTGCCTTGGCCTACCAAAGTGGTGGGATTACAGACGTGAGCCACCGTGTCCAGCCCCATAAGATAGATTTATATTCACCTTTTAAGAAACTGCCAAAATGTCTTTTGGAGTGGCCATGCTGCCATGTTCTCCCCAGCGTGGATGAAGGCTCCATTTCCACACACCCCTGCTTGATATTGATGCGACATCTTTTTAATGTTGAACATTTCTGGATAACACATGCAGCGTGGCTTTCTTTTGCATTCAAAGTGTTTCATATCCCTCGGCAGCATTTGAAAGATTTCTTCATATGGATTGTGTGTGTATATTTTTGCACATTTATTTCTGAGAGTTTTGTTTTTTGGGAGTGTGCTGTTGCAAATGGGATGTTTTCTTTTTTTTTTTTTTTTTTTGAGACGGAGTCTTGCTCTGTCGCCCAGGCTGCAGTGCAGTGGCCGAATCTCAGCTCACTGCAAGCTCCGCCTCCCGGGTTCCCGCCATTCTCCTGCCTCAGCCTCCCGAGTAGCCGGGACTACAGGCGCCCGCCACCTCGCCTGGCTAGTTTTTTTTTGTATTTTTTAGTAGAGACGGGGTTTCACCGTGTTAGCCCGGATGGTCTCGATCTCCTGACCTCGTGATCCGCCCGTCTCGGCCTCCCAAAGTGCTGGGATTACAGGCTCGAGCCACCGCGCCCGGCCTGCAAATGGGATGTTTTCTTCTGTTAACTTTTCTAACTGCTTGTTTGTACATAGGAAGACTGTTTCAGGCCAGGCTTGGTGGCTCACACCTATAATCCTAGCACTTTGGGAGACTGAGGCAGAAGGACTGCTCGAGCCCAGGGGTTTGAGACCAGCCTGGGCATCATAGTAAGACCTCGTCTCTATTTTTTTTTTTTTTTTTTTGAGACGGGGTCTTTCTCTGTCGCCCAGGCTGAAGTGCAGTAGTGCACTCCGGTTCACTGCAACCTCCATGTCCTGGGTTCAAGCAATTCTCGTGCCTCGGCCTTCAATTCAATACTCGTGCCTCTGGTATTACAGGTATGTGCCACCACACCCGGCTAATTTTTGTATTATTAGTAGAGATGGGGTTTTGCCATGTTGGCCAGGCTGGTATCAAACTCCTGGCCTCAAGCAATCCGCCTCCCTTGGCCTCCCAAAGCGCTGGGATTACAGGTGTGAGCTGTGCCCGGCCCCATCTCTATATTTTAAAAATTAAGAAAAAGGAAGGCTGCTTAGTATGTTACTTTTGTACCTAACTCCTTAGCAAAATCTGCCTCCTTTTTAAGAGTAAATATAATTATTTCACCTCCTGCTTTTTTCTTAAATGTCTTACTTTCCTTCTTGCCTAGTTTCATCAGCTAAGGCCTCCAAAATAATTGTGGCAACAGAGGGCATTCTTTTGTTCCGCAGGTTAATGGAAGCTTCCATTGCTTCCATCCCCTACAAATGATGCTGGGCTTTGGCTTGATAGGTGTGTGTCTGGGTGTAATTTCCTTTGTCGTGTGTAATTTAAGGAAGTATCCCTCTTTCTAATTTGATAAGTTTTTAAAATAAGTTTTGTAGTAAATTTTGTCAAATGCCTTTTCAACATCTACGATGATTGATTTTTCTTATAGCATATTAATATAAATGAAATTAGGCCGGGTATGGTGGTTCACGCCTGTAATCTTAGCACTTTGGGAGGCTGAGGCGGGCAGATCACAAGATCAGGAGATCGAGACCATCCTGGCTAATATGGTGAAACCCTGTCTCTACTAAAAATACAAACAATTAGCCAGGCGTGGTGGCAGGCACCTGTAGTCCCAGCTACTTGGGAGACTGAGGCAGGAGAATGGAGTGAACCCAGGAGGTGGAACTTGCAGTGAGCCTGGATCGTACCACTGCACTCCAGCCGGAGCAACAGAGCGAGACTCCATCTCAAAAAAAAAAAAAAAAAAAAAAAAAAAAAATATATATATATATATATATATAAAATGAAATTAAAAGATGTTCTAATTTTGAACCATCCTTGTCACACTGTACAAGTCTCACTTGGTTTAGATCACTTTTTTTTTTTTTTGAGATGGAATCTCGCTCCGTCGCCCAGGCTGGAGTGCAGTGGCCGGATCTCAGCTCACTGCAAGCTCTGCTTTCCAGGTTCACGCCATTCTCCTGCTTCAGCCTCCCTAGTAGCTGGGACTACAGGTGCCCGCCACGATGCCTGGCTAATTTTTTTCTTTGTATTTTTTAGTAGAGATGGGGTTTCACGCTGTTAGCTAGGATGGTCTTGATCTCCTGATCTCGTGATCTGCCCGCCTTGACTTCCCAAAGTGCTGGGATTACAGGTGTGAGCCACTGTACCCAACCAGTTTTAGGTCACTTTTTTTTTAGGCCCCAGTGGGGTTTATTTGGTAATACTTTATTCTGGATTTTCTTACATTGATTTGTATGTAAACGTCTTACCTTGTTTTGTTTTAGAGATAGGGCCTTGCTCTGATGCCCAGGCTGGAGTGCAGTGGTATGATCATAGTTTATTGTAATTTCGAACTCCTGGGCTGAAGTGATCCTCCTGCCTCAGCCTCCTAGGTAGCTGGGACTATAGGCGCAAGCCACCACACCCGGCTAATGATGAAATTTTTTTAGAGACAGAGTCTTGCTCTGTTGTCTAGGCTGGAGTTCAGTGTACATTGTAGATATAAATATTTATTGGTTTTTTCGCTGGAATCATTCCCTCTCCCATCTGTTTCAAATTCATGCACAAGTACTCCACCCACACCCCCCAGTTGCAAAGTATTGATGTTGTCCAACCTGCCTTGAGAAGGGAGAACTGTTTCCCTCTTTGTATGTCTGCTGGCGTCCAGGCTGCTGCTGTGTTTTTGGTAAATACTTGACCCACAGAGTGTGGGAGGCAGGCAGGGAAGGGTTCTGCTTTTCCTTTCTGGACCAGAAATCATGGATCCATCAAGCATATTGAGAAACCAACAGGTCAGGTGGCTGCACACGCTAGTTGGCATCTGACTCTAAATTGCTCAGGGGCCCCTGCATACCAGTGATTTGCTTTGCTTTTATTGCAAAAGCAGAAGTGGGGGTTGACTGAGCTTGGGCAGCCTTGGGAGGCAGACAAGCCTGCATCAGCGCCATCCTGGCCGTTTGTAGGTTGTATGACCTTGGGGGAATCTTCTCAACTCTGTGAGCCTTTGTTTCTTCTCTCATTAAGTAGGGATCATCCATTCCTCATTGGACTATTGTAAGGCCTAAGATCAAACATCTTTTTTTTTTTGAGATGGAGTCTCGCTCTGTCACCAGGCTGGAGTGCAGTGGCGCGATCTCAGCTCACTGCAGTCTCCACCTCCCAGGTTAAAGCAATTCTTGGCCTCAGCCTCATGGGCAGCTGGGATTACAGGCGCCTGCCACCACGCCCAGCTAATTTATTTATTTATTTATTTATTTTGTATTTTTAGTAGCGACGACATTTCACCATCTTGGCCACGCTGGTCTTGAACTCCCGACCGTGTAATCCACCCGCCTCGGCCTCCCAAAGTGCTGAGCCACCATGCCTGGCCCCCAGATCAAACATCTTTCAAGGCACTTGGAGAAGTGCCTGGGCTCCGGGGTCTTTAGGCTGTAACCATAGCAAAACACTTAAATCACAGCTGCTCTCCCTTCTCTCTTCCCTCCAGTGTGGCAATGTGGAGGACCAACCTTCTCCTTCCCATTCACCCTGGAGTTCTTTCTTGTAAACTTCATCTGGCACCTGCTGCGCTGTGCAGGGATTCATTGCGGGGGGAGGGGAAAGGGAAGGGGGGGAGTAGGGCAGAGGTCAGGGATGGTCAAGTCTGGCCTTCAGCTTGCCTCAGTCCCCATGGCTGATGCCTTGCCCTTTACTCTGGAATCTGGACCCTACAAGCTCCTACCAAAGGCTCAGTGCAGAGAGGGCTCCAGGGCACCCCCTATCGGTGAGCAGATTCTGTAGCCGCCCACACCTCCCCATCTCGAGTGGATGATCAGCCCCAGTAATCCAGAGACACATTCTTGGATTCTGCCAGCTTTATTTTTCAGTTGAAAACTCAAAGGAAAAAGTTATATCCCAAAAGAAAGTAAAAAACTTCCAATGCTGTAGCCTGGGGGCCTGACTGACTTCACAGGTACCCCTACCAAAGTGGAGGCCCTCCCCAGAGTCTCCTAAAGCATTCCGTCCCAGTGTGTCTACCCCAGAGAGAAAAGCTCCCTCCCTAGGCTTCTGATTAACGGGCTTGGGGCCATCAGTTCCCCTCAAGGAAGCTCCTGCCTCAGAAGACCCCTGGATCAGGCAGGGAAAACCAGTACCAAGCTGCTGAGGGCCTGGCTTCGTGTCCCCCACCACACAGTGTTCTGAAGCGGCTTCCCAGATGGCTGTTGAATAAGTGAGTAAATATCTTGGGCATGAACAGGGGCCACACTGTCTCCTGGTTTACAGTGGAGGTGTGGAGGAAGGGGGAGAATTACCCAGACCAGTGGGAGAGTTTCCCCCAGAAGTATTTTTGAGCCCAGTGGCAAAGAGCTCTTGTTTCCTGCGTTTGAAGCACGTGCAGTTCTGAGTTTCCCGGCATTCCATGCTGGTTATTCTCTCCCAGCCATGAATCTTGCCCTTGCCAAGGAACTGGAATTGGAGTACAAGGTGAAGGGGTTTGAAGTCTTTGGCAGCCTAATGCTGGCTTGGATGAAATCTCAAACTGTAAAGGAGAGAGAAGAGAAGTAAGACCAGGCTATGAGCCCTGGAGGAGAGGGGCCCCTGGCCCTCATTATTAATAGGACAACTCCCCATCTACTCCCATCCATCTCCCTCTCCCCTTTTTGTAAGAGCAGTGGGCATGGGTCAATGAGTCCCTATACCTGCAGGGCCTTTGCAGGCAGTGGTGCTAGGCCCAGCCTGCTGAGTTCCTTGGAAATTGAACAACCACCTGTGGAGGGCTCACTCTGTGTCAGGCTCTGCTGCCAGCACCCCGGACACAGAGAAGACCAAGACACGGTTCCTAGCCAAGGGGAGGGTGGAAGCTTAGCACACGATGATTTGAGAGCTCAGGATGCATCCAACCCACAGTGTGGGCTAAAGGGAGCTCACTATGTGGGTGAGATCTTCAGTACAGCATGCAGTGGAGGCCGTGACGCAGGGCTCCTGGCCCTAGAGGTGCTGCTCTGCTGTGTCACTGTCAAATGTGGTGGGCAAGGGCACAGACTGACACTCAGAGCTACCAGGTTAAGGAAGTGCCCTTCTATCCCTCATCTGCTAAGAGAACTGTTTAAAAGATGGGCTTTAATTTTTTTGAGATGGAGTCTCGCTCTGTCACCCAGGCTGGAGTACAGTGGCTCACTGCAACCTTTGCCTGCTGGGTTCAAGCAATTCTCCTGCCTCAGCCTCCTGAGTAGCACCTGCCACCACACCTGGCTAATTTTTATATTTTTAGTAGAGACGGGGTTGGGCCAGGCTGGTCTCAAACTTCTGACCTCAAGTGATCCGCCTGCCTTGGCCTCCCAAAGTGTTGGGATTACAGGAGCGAGCCACTGTGCCCAGCTTTTTATTTTTTTTCTGTCGCCGAGACTGGAGTGCAGAGGTACGATCTTAGCTCACTTCAACCTCTGCCTCCTGGGTTCAAGTGATTCTCCTGCCTCAGCCTCCCAAGTAGCTGGGATTACAGGCGTGTGCCACTATACCCGGTTAATTTTTATATTTTTAGTTGAGACGGGGGTTTCACCATGTTGGCCAGGCTGGTCTCGAACTCCTGACCTTGTGATCTGCCCGCCTCAGCCTCCCAAAGTGCTGGGATTACAGGTGTGAGCCACCTCACCTGGCCAGGAAGCACACTTCTATCCCTCATCTGCTAAGAGAACCGTTTAAAATATGGGGTTTAGGTGGCCTTTTCTGCCATCTCTTTCTACTACATTCTGGTTCTTTTTCAGATATATAATTTTCAGTAATTAGTCAATTAGCTGATTAGATAAATTAATTACTAAACTACACATTTAGTAATTAGTAATTTTAATAATTTCTAGTTCCCTGCTGAAATCTATAATCTGTGTCTAATAAGGCTACTATCTGAGTCCTGTGTGTCTGTGGCTATTGTCTGTCTGTGCTAGTTTTTACACTTAGAATTTTATCTCCTTATGTGTTTGGTTTTATAACTACGGTGTTCATATGTATAAAGTTTATCATCACATCACCACGCCTAGCACAGAGGTGCTCAATATACATTTCTAATGTAAAAAATGTTAAATGTGGTTAAATACATGTAAAATTCACCATAACCATTTTAAAGTACACAATTCAGTGTAAGTACATTCATATTTTTGTGCAACCAATCTCCGGAACTCACTAAATCCTGCCAAACTGAAACTTTATCCCCATTAAATAGCCCATTACTGCTCTCTCCCAGCTCCTGGCAGCCACCACTGTACTTTGTCTCTATGAAACTGGTTACTCTAGGTCCTTCAAATATGTTTTTGTGACTGGCTTGTTTCACTTTGTATAATGTCCTCAAGGTTCATCCATGTGGTAGCGTGTCAGAATTTCCTTCCTTTTTAAGGCTGAATCATAATTGACTGTATGGAGAGACCACATTTGTTTATCTGTCAGTGGACACTTGGATTGCTGCTGCCTCTTGGCCGTTGTGAATAATGCTGCTATGAACATCGGTGTATAAATGTGTGAGACCCTTTGAATTTTAGGGGATACATACCCAGAAGTAGAATTACTGGATTGTACAGTAATTCTTTGTTTTGAGACAGAGTCTCACTCTGTCACCCAGGCTGCAATGCAATGGTGCAATCTCGGCTCATTGCAACCCCCGCCTCCCGGGTTCAAGTGATTCTCATGCCTCAACCTCCCAAGTAGCTGGGATTACAGGCCCGCACCATCACGCTTGGCTAACTTTTGTATTGTTGTAGAGATGGGGTTTCACCATGTTGGCCAGGCTGGTGTCAAACTCCTGGCCTCAAGTGATTCGCCTGCCCCAGCCTCCCAAAGTGCTGGGATTACAGGTGTGAGCCACTGCACCTGGCCGATTTTTAACTTTTTGGTGAATTGCCATACTGTTTTTTCTATTTATTCTCCCAGTAAGAGTACACAAGGGTTCCAACCGCTCAACATCCTTACACGTGTTATTTTCTGTATTGTTTACAGCCATCCTAATGGGTCTGAGGTGGCAGCTCCATGGAGGCTTTGTGTTTTTTTTGTTTTTTTTTTTTTTGAGACAGTCTTGCTCTGTCACCAAGGCTGGAGTGCAGTGGCAGGATCTCAGCTCACTGTAACCCCTGCCTCCTGAGTTCAAGCAATTCTCCTGCCCCAGCCTCTTGAGCAGCTGGGACTACAGGCGTACACCACCACTCCTGGCTAATTTTTGTGTTTTTGCTAGAGACGTGGTGTCACCATGTTGGCCAGGCTGGTCTCGAACTCCTGACCTCAAGTGATCTGTCCACCTTGGCCTCCAAAAGCGCTGGGATTATAGGCATGAGCTGCTGTGCCCAGCCTCTCCATGTGGTTTTGATTTGAGTTCCCCTAATAATTAGTGATGTTGAGCATCTTTTTACGTGCTTATTGCCCATTTGCATATCTTATTTGGAGAAATGTCTATTCAAGTCCTTTGTACATTTTTGAACTGGGTTGGGTTTCTGTTGTTACACTGTGAGAGTGATTTATGTATTCTAGATGGGAACTCCTTATCAGATACAATTTGCACATCTTTACTCCCATTCAGTATCCTTCGATGCAATCCAGTTTGTCTATTTTTCCTTTTGTTCATGTGCCTTTGGTGTCATATGTGTCATATCAAAGAAGTCATTGCCAAAAAGGAAGCCCTCCTACTGTGTTTTAAGAGTTATATAGTGGCCAGGCACAGTGGGTCACACCTGTAATCCCAGCACTTTGGGAGGCCAAGGCAGGTGGATCATGAGGTCAGGAGATCAAGACCATCCTGACTAACACGGTGAAACCCCGTCTCTACTAAAAAAATACAAAAAAAAATTAGGCAGGCGTGGTTGCGGGCACCTGTAGTCCCAGCTACTTAGGAGGCTGAGACAGGAGAATGGCGTGAACCAGGAAGCGGAGCTTGCAGTGAGCCGAGATCAAGCCACTGCACTGCAGCCTGGGCAAGTAAGCAAGACTCCGCCTCAAAAAAAAAAAAAAAAAAAAAAGTTGTATAGTTTCAGCTCTTAAAGTTAGGTCTTTAATCCATTATTGAGCTTTTTTTTTTTTTTTTTCCAACATGGTATAAGGTAATGGTTTAACTTTGTTCTTTTGCATGTGGATATCTAGTTTTCCCAACGCCATTTGTTGACTGTCCTTTCCCCAATTCGATAGTCTTGGCATCCTTACTGAAATCACTTGACCATATGTGTAAGACTTTCTTTCTAGACTCTGTATTTCATTCCACTGGTCTATATGTGTGTCTTTATACCAGTACCACACTTTTGACCACTGTAGCTTTTAACAGATTTTGAAATTTGGAAGTATAATGTGTCCAACTTTGTTCTTTGTTTTCAAGATTGTTTTGGCCATTTGGGGTCCCTTGAAATTGCATATAAACTTTAGGATGGATTTTTCTATAATTGAAGAAAAAATGCCACTGGGATTGCGATAGCAATTACATGAAACCTGTAGATCACTTTGAGTAGTATTGACATCTTAACGATACTAAGTCTTATAATCCTTAAATATTAGATGCCTTTACATTTGTTGCACAACCAGTCTCTGGGACTCTACATCCTGCCAAAGTCTGCCTCCTGGTTAAGTTTATTCTTACTTTATTTTATTTGATGCTATTGTAAACGGACTTAAAAAAAAAAAAAAGATGGTGTCTCACTATGTTGCCCAGGCTGGAGTACAGTGGCTATTCACAGGCATAATCATCATCAAAACTGATAGCGTCGACCTCTGAGGCTCAAGCAATCCTCCTGCCTCAACCTCCCAAGTAGCTGAGACTGTAGGCATGCACCACCATGCCCAGCAGGAATTGTTTTCTTAATTTCCCTCTTGGATTGTTGACTGTTAGTGTGTAGAAATTGCAACCGACTTTTGTATGTTGATTTCGTAATCCTGAAACTTTGACAAATTATTAGTTCTAACTTTTTTTTTCATGCAGTCTTCAGGATTTTCGACAAAGAAGATCACATCTGTTAACAGATAATTTTACTGCCTCTGTTCCAATTTGGATGCCTTTTCTTTTTCTTTCTTTCTTAATAGCTCTGGCGAGGATTTCCAGCATTATGAAAGCAGGCATCATCGTTTTATTCCTCATCTTGGAAAACTTTCTTTCATCACTGAGTATGATGTTAGCTGAGGGTTGTTTATATGACCTTTATTATGCTGAGGTCATTTCTATTTCGAGTTTGTGTTTTTTAATCATGAAAAGGGTATTAAACTATGTTAAATGTTTTTTCTGCACTAACTGAAATAGTGATGTGTTTAACAGAATGAAGGAATGTGTTATCTTACATTGATTTTTATATGGTAACCATCTTTGCATTCCAGGAATAAATCTCACTTGATCATGGTATATAATCCTTTTTATGATGCTGTCAAATTCTCCTTACGAGTATTTTGTTGAGAAATTTTGCATCTGTATTTATGAGGGATATTACTTTATTTTCCTCTGGTTCTTTGTCTACCTTTGGTATCAGTAATGCTGGCCTCACAGAATGCGTTTGGAGGTATTCTTTCCTGAGTGTTTTGTAAGAATAT